GCGGACCCGGTGGATTGGTGTGGACGGTAAAATGTGGTTGGAGCGAACCAGAAATTTGGATTACCTCAAGAAATTATTCACATTAACCAAAATATGTAGATTTAGATTTAGATTTTCCATCTTGGATGCTAAAACGATCACCTGATAAAGCTGGAGAAACATTAAAGTGATAGTCTGGTCATTTTTGAAGTGATGTTCCAAATGACCAGACTCTCCCCCTTAAACACCAGCCATGTTCTTCTAGTTCATTATAAATGAACACTGAGGAGTACCAGAGGGCCAAGCGGTCCACAGACTTGGCTGTTGCTGAGGCAAAAGCTCGGATGTGGGAGGAGTTCGGTGAGACCCTGGATAACGACTCTCAGGTGGCTCCGAGGAGACTCTGGCAAACCATCAGGCGGCTGAGGAGAAAACAGCGCTTTACTAACACTGTGCTCAGTGAAGGTGTGGTGCTGTTGACCTCAACCAGTGATGTCATCGGGAGGTAGAAGGAATACTTGTCGGACCTTCATCCCACTGGCACATCTTACATGGAGGAAGTGGAGTCGGGGGACTTTGGGGTTGGTCTGTCTATAACCGTGGCTGAGGTCGCCGAGGTGGTTAAAAAGCTCCGAGGTGGCAGGGCTGTGGTGTAGAGGCAGGGCAGCCAACTCAGGACCCGAAAGTCCCAGGTTCGATCCCCGGACATTGCACATCTCATGGTGTCTCTGAGTAGCACACACTATCCCCAAAAGCTCCCTGGGCACTGCCCACTGCACCACCTGGTGGTGGATGGGTTAAATGCAAAGAGCCAATTTCACCATTGTGTGACAACACATAACACATTATTATTATATATTAGTTCTGATACTCATTCCTGTTCCTCTCAACACAGCAGATGGCCGCTTGTCCTGACCCTGGTTTTGCTAAAGGTTTCTTCCTGTTAAAAGGGAGTTTTTCCTTTCCACTGTGGCCTTCATGCTTGCTCAAAATGAGTTCTGTGATGGAGTTAAACTCAAAGCAGTCTGCTCCTCAGATAGTATTTTTTTTATATATTTGGATGTTCCTGTTCAGCGCCCTGAGATGACTTCTGTTGTGACTTGGCACTATTTAAATAAACTGAATTGAATTGATACTTGCCTTGGAAATGTTTTAGTCACCTTGTCTGTGCATTATTTGTCTCTATCAAAAAATGAATAAAATAATGGGACAACAAAGAAGTAAAGGAGACATGTTTATTATTTAAACTATCACTTAAATAAAAAAAGTGCATAGAAAATAAACATGATTAGAAACTTTTCTTTTTACACTTATGTACAGCTTTGTTTCCTAATTATACATTCAACCAAGTAGTTTGTGGTTTATTTTTCACGATGGTGGTTTTCCTTCATTTTGTTGACGCGTACTCAAAAAAAACACTGTTGAACCGGAGAAATATGACTCGTGAATACCGTTATTAGAGAGCAGGAGGATACTGAGAGAAGACAAAGGTATATTTCAAAGCAAAAACTAAAACTGGCCTGTTCATGATTCCTCTTTTTGTACATCCGACTGTAACCCCCCCCCCCCCCCCCCCCCCCGTCCCTTCTGCCCTGTTCTGACACTACATCCCATCATAGGCTGTCTATACACAACAAATGGTTCAAAGAAATTACAAATACACAGTAAGTACTCATACAATCTCTCCAAAACCTTGACTTGTAAAAAAACAAGGTGGATGTTGCTGTGCGAAATAAATAAATAAACATTTTCAACATCAGCATTATGACTTTCTATAAAACAGTACATAATAAGTACAACCAAAGCTTCAGAGGAGAGAGAGTTATGGTCTGGGAGACATGAGAGCTTATTAAAGTAGATAAAAAAAAATTAAAAAAAGCCATTTTGGTGGTATTATATTGACCGTCTCCACAAACCAAACTCTAAAATGTTTCCCACATCAAGTAAGCCTCCTTAAAAGTCCCCGTTAAAACATACGAACGAAACAAACTAACAAAAAGACATTCACTACAACCAGGGAAAAAAATAAACCCAAAATGGCTGACCTCGAGAAGTTCACAACCACGTTAATACAGTTACATTTCTCGTCACGTGAAAGCCGCTCCGCTCCAGAAAAAAGTAAAAGTAAAAACTGCAGCGCCCCTCAGCTGACAGAGGAACGCTCACAGGCACAGCAAAACTGGTACTGGATATCAATATACAAAAGAATGATGCACGTTAGTTTTATCTGATAGTACTGCAACACAAAACCATTATAGAGTACATTGAAACATTGCTATTAACCGTTATAAATCCGCTGTTTTGCTACTGTAACTAAGTTTGTCTGTCCATTCCATATATTGTATAGATACAAGAACAAGAAATTACTATGTGCGTTTTCCATATATTGTTACGTATTTATACTATAATTACAGATAATGACGAAGGGCCACTGATGTGGCGTGATAAAATGTCCAACAAACAAAAAGTACCAGAACTTCCTTATTGTTTAAATGTTGCCTAAAACAGTAAAGTAACCGACTTATTGTTGACTGAACACTCTGAACCTGAAAAACACAAAACAAGAGTATGAAGTGAGTCGTAGACAGAGCCCTTAGCATCAGTTACCGTCTTATTCCACTGCTGGCGTGAACTGTTCGAGATAAACCTGTGGTTCTACAGACACGAGTCCCACTGCTGTTCACTTTAAACGTACCCCCAGTCCTGAAATGAAACTGCGTCGTTTGAGGTCACGTCTGCGATCTTAAAATAAATACAGCTCACAAAGTGTCCGCATCGTCACGGCTGGATGCGGAGGAAGAGTATACATTCACTGTTGAGCTTAGCAGCAGAACCCAGCGAGCCCGGTGGCGGTGCCGCTCAGCAGCCTCGGGGCGGGTCGACCCAGAGGCGCATGAACCGCGGTACTCTCTGGAAGGGAGGGGGCTCCTGGTGTGGTCCCTGCCTTCACTTTGTAGAGCAGAAAGAATCAAGTGCACTTCGCTAGAGCGTCAAACGACGTCCGAGCCGGACGCACGAACTCAAAGAAGCCCACGTGAGCGTCTGCGCTCGTGGTCTCTGCACTGGCGTTTGCATCGTCTGCCCAGAGAACGAGCTGAGCGGTCAGTGCCTTTTCTTCTAAGTGCAAACTGTTATTTTGGGGTGTCAGTTTTTAGTTTCGGTTCACAACGAGGAGCAGTGTGGGAGTACCTGCTAATGGCTATAACGAAGTCAGCGTGAACTGCAAACGACAATAAATTAATAATGGAGACAACACTCATCCACTTCAGTCGTGCAGTGGAAGCAGTCAAGTCAGTATGTTTAAGAGGGGGGGCATCAAGGCTTATAAAAGATGTCTGCTTGTTTACAGCTAAGGCTAAAACCAACAAGACTGAATGAAAGAAAGCGTCCCCATCTGCTGGTGAGCACTGAGCCATCACTTCTCACTTTAAAAGAAAACATTGGCTCGATGGAGAGACGATGAGCGCTGACGACGGAGTTCAAATAAAGGCACCTCGTTTCTAGACCAAGTCTGCAGAGGGACTTCAGAGTTCAATCTGATGGGACTACTGTTGACTTTTACAAACGTGGGTGTTTTGTTCAGCTGGCCCGTGTCTGATGGTTAGATTCCTTTGATAGCAGATAAGCAGCCGGTGAGTGGACTTGATTCTTTGATTTATGTTGTGGACACAATAAGGCTGGAGAGAGGAGATATCAGCTGTGGGTCAACAATCTAAACTCTCTCAAGTGCATAATAGTTCACATGACTGTCAAACCAGTAGCTAGAACTGGAACAGCAACAAAAAACAACAAAAAATAAAAAAATAAGCTCTGGCCAAATGGCCTGTGGTAGATAAAGAGCTACTGGTGGACTGAACTGAAGAGGAACCGAGCCACAGACCAGTGTCAGTCTTTGGATTCAACAAAAACAACATCAAATAAAAATTAAAAACATTCAGGCTCTACATTTAAAATAAAATTAAATAAAACTTTAAAAAGGCAGTGGAGTACAAAACATAGAAACCAAACATTAGTGTTTGTAAACCTCTATTTCCTACAAAAATGGCAATAGAATAAATATGAATTTTTAAAAATATAAATACCATCATTAAGTGCTATTTGCTATTGAGTGCTTTTAAGGTTTTTTTGTTTTGTTTTGTAGAAAAATATAAATTATTTACAATGTCTTTCAAATGCAAGCATGATATTTCCCTGTCTGTAATAAAAAGATCACACACACAAAAAAATCTCTTCTCTACAATAACGGATATCGCGACAGGCCAAGAAGGAAACAAGTGTCAAAATTCAATTTAAGGGCTTGATGTTTGGTTGTCTTGCTCCTGGAATTTGGAACGCGATTCTCAAGTCCGAGTTGATACCAGCGACAGCGCGCACAAACCTGCTTCAGAGATCTATTTTAAGTACTCAAGCACATCAGTAGGTTCTTCTGGTCCCTTGGCTGTCAGTCCACCAGAATCTCTAGCTGCCTCACTCTTCCAGGCCAGAGGCTTCATCCCATAAGTAACACATCTACAAAGCTACCAAGCTGTCAGACTCAATTTACAAGATGGTATCAAACCTTTACAGCAGTGGTCGAAAATAAACCTGTCTTTTTTTTTTTTAAGCAAAATCTTTCTAACCTGACGTCTTTTTCTCCTCCCTGTGGACGACGCTCCACCTAGTGTTCTCGTCTGTACAGTTCCCCCTAAGGCTGCTCCAGCGCAGCAGCTCCTATTTACAACGTCACATGTACAGTACACGCCTGCAAACGTTACGAGGAAGGTTCCAGCTCTGAAGGCATCAGGGCACGTTGAACAGGGCGATGCACATCAATAACAGCTGACACTGAGATAAAAAGAAATCTTAAAAAAATATGAGAGGGTTTATCACTGTTACAAGTCCCTTCAACAAATTGCACTTTGGTGTAAATTAAAACCAAGTTCTTTGATAATTTATTTTTTTTCCTTCTAAGTTCACATTGATAGACCACAACACATAAAAACAAACAAACAAAAAGAAAAAGAATCAAAGATCAAGGGACTATGTAAAAAAAATAAAACCATGAGCTATCATCCAAATAGAAATATTGCAATTACGTGATTCTTAAGTCACCGCTCCAGGTGAAACTCTCAATGTAAAACAGAGAAAAGGAGGCACAATATGTTTGAATTTTTACATACGGCCCTTCCTGAAAATACAGTATGACCCAGTTTGCCCACACCTGCAGCTGCTGATGTAACAGAAACCACAAAACCATGGCAAAGAACAGCAGGCTGGGGGATCTTCTGTACCTCGTGGCACCACTGCCCCAGAGTCCTCTTCAGGTTGGAGGCATCAGTTGAGGAACTTGCGGCACTTCTTCGCTCCGCAGTTGCACAGCAGCTTATTGTTGGCGTCTTCGATAGGGAACTTGTAGTCGTACGTGAGCTCTTCCCCGCGGTAGATGCGGCGAGACGCGAAGATGACGATGTGCTTCTGGCCGTGCACGGTGACGACTCGAGAGAAGCAGTTGGGCTCACAGGAGTGGTTAATGAAGCGGGCGGCGTTGCCATGCACTGTAGCGTCTACCACCTCGTAGTCGTCGATGCGAAACATGTAACAGCCGATCCCCTTTGAGTACAGAGAAGACATGTATTGCACTCTCACTTCTTCTAAACTGTAAATAAAATGTGCACTTTTTTTCCAGAGGCCTTACCTTCCCATCGTAGTATTTCTCCCGTTTGTCAGTGAGCACAGACCGAATGACATTTCCAGAGTATTCGATGACCATTTCCCCAGCTTCAATGGTTTTCTTGCAGAACAAGCCACGGCCGTGAATAGGAGACCTGCAGAGGGAAACAGCCAATCCATGTGATGTACTGTACTCAAAGACTTTGTTTACAGATACAGAGCTATGGTTTGTAATATTTTTATTTTCCATGTACCTTTTAAAATCCTCAAAATTATCACAAGTTGTTCAAGATCATAAATACTGAAAGTGAGGAAATTACGTCCCTGAATGTTACAAAGGTCGACCACAACGACAGGAGTCAAATGTACTGTAGAACTAACCAGTGATGATTTTTGAATATTTCAAGTTATGATGGCCAAAAATGGAAAAACTATTGCAACTTCTTTTACATGTTTTTAACTACCTTCGTTAATTAGTAAAAAATAAACACACATTACTGTTTATCTAACCTGTAGACTCCAACTGTTTCCCTCGAGGTGGCCTTGAGCTGTCTGAACCTCACAGCAAGCGGCAGCTCCATGGAGGCACGCCTGCAACGACAGCACAAGAAAGGAAGCGTTAAAATAATACAAACCGGATTCCAAAAAAGTTGGGACACTAAACAAATTGTGAATAAAAACTGAATGCAATAATGTGGAGATGGCAAATGTCAATATTTTATTCGTAATATAACATAGATGACAGATCAAAAGTTTAATCTGAGTAAATGTAACATTTTAAAGGAAAAATATGTTGATTCAAAATTTCACAGTGTCAACAAATCCCAAAAAAGTTGGGACAAGTAGCAATAAGTGGCTGGAAAAAGGAAATTGAGCATATAAC